GGAAAAAAATGGAATGTATCTCTCTGGATCACCTTGAAAGTTAAGTTAAAAAGTTAAATAACGCCTTACCCATACTAAGTGCTCAATTCAAATAATTGTTAAGTGCTGCTTTCATTTTTTGAAATTACCTAATATTACAGTAAATATTTTTCATTGTCTTATGAGACATTAATATTGCAATTTTGGTGGCTCAGTCAGTTAAGCATCTGACTCTTGATCTTGGGCTCCACGCTGGTCAATTTTACTGCAGTTTAATTATTTTTCACTAATATATTTCAAAAATTTTTAAAAAATCTTTTAAAGAAAAATAATGAGGTAGAAAACATTAGGACTTCCGACAGAGAAATGTATCCAAATCTTTTACTAATGAGCTGAATGTCCTTGAGCCATTTACCGTGAACTCTATGAGTTTCAATTCCCTCACATATAAAAAATGAGAACAAAAATTCCGACTTTCAGCATTGTCGTGAGGATGAGAAATGAAAAAGTAAAAGCCCCTAGCACATAATGGGCCCCACTGATATTCTGAAGGAGTAGATGACAAAATGAAGAAAATACGAGAATCAATGCCTCTTCATTTAGGCCAGTCATTAGCTAACGATCAGCCACTATGAATGAAAAAAAAGCCTAGTAAAATCAATAAAATGTAAAGCCTAATTCATTTTTACAATATGACCTACTTTCAGCTATTTTTGACTCACATGAACGACCAGTGTTACAAGGAGCTGATTCGGCAAAGACTGTTCATTAAAAGCATTTTCTTTTCTTTTCGTTATGGCTTTCAACTTTGAAGGGTTATAAGCATCCACTGAAAGAACCCTGGTACTAATCTTACAGTGTGACTTTCAAAATCTATGCAGTGTCAAAGGTTGCTGCAGATGCAGGATGGGGGAGGACTTGAAGCTAATCGGGTTTAATTCCACTCAATTATGCAGCTTCCATCAGGCAGCTCCGAATGCCCTTAAATAGATTATTTAGATCTTAGCATTTGAAGGTTTGCAAAAATAAAACTCTGAATGATCTTTTCCCTTCTTACGAAGTACCAGTAGATACACCTCGGTTTGTGATCTGTGGAGAAGACCTCGCTGTGCTAGTTTTTCACTTGGGAAACAAATGTGCTTATTAGATACTGACCCCAAATCACTTAAGTGCCATTGAATCTTAGACAACAAAACAGCTGAAGAAAGATATTTTCAGCTGCTTTGGAGTATCTTTGCAAAGAGCCATTGTTCTTTCTCTCAGGGGCTATGGCATTCTTTAGCCCAATCAAATCTACCTGCTAACAAAGATGGAAGAAGTAAGACCTATTTTCCCAAAGGCTAAACAAGAATTAATGACTGCCAAACTAATTGTCTCTTAATTTTCTTTTCTACTCCCTCTCTGGCTGGTCTTCTAGAGATAGAGTTTATAGACTTTCCCTTTGTTAAGAACGTTAACTCAGAAGGCAGCCGTACACTAACAACAAAGAGTGGGATTTTGGGGCTTTGGGTTTTGTTTTTGATATCCCAGGGATTCTGCCTTATAAACCAGAGGAGGGATGGGTACATTTTATAACTGGGGCATTTCTAACCAGGCAGATGGGAAGTGTGGAGGACAAAACCTTCTTGGGAGAACCTGATACATGATCCCTATATTCCCACTGTATTTTCCAAACCAAACCCAAATGAGAACCACTGGTCCTTCAGACCCACCATCCCAATGACAATGACAGCAAAAGCATTCATCATGGCACCCTCTTTATCCTAACAGACCCCTGAGTTAAAAGATGCGCGGGGCTCCTACCCAAAGAAGAGTAAATGGCGAGTGAGCCAATGGCATAGATCTGCTTGTCTTCATTTCAAAATAAAGAGACAAAAGACATACATGATCCTCTCATAAGAGACTCTTAATCTCAGGAAATAAACTGAGGGCTGCTGGAGTGGAGGGGGGTGGAAGAGATGTGGGGGCTGGGGGATGGACACTGGAGAGGGTATGTGCTATGGTGAGCGCTGTGCATTGTGTAAGACTGATGAATCACAGACCTGTACCCCTGAAACAAATAATATATTATATGTTAATAATTTAAAAAAAGAAAAAAAAGAAGTAAATAACAGAAAAACTAATGCTATAGAAGTGCCAGTAGTGACTAAATTTTCGAAGTAAACAACAAAAGCCTTTGAAACTGTGACATGATAACAAGATTTTGTGATTCTCTGAAACGGCAGTACGTGTGCTAATCCCAGTGAGACAGAAAAGAACTGGGGATTGTTAACTAGTACCCAACCCTCTGGTGAAGCAACTCCTCTTCTCCTGGAGTGCAGAAAGGAGCCCCACCGTGCTTTATACTATAAATCCACAAGGGGCCACCAGCTCCACCTGCCCCAGCACCCGGGCCACTCCCTGGCCCCTTCCCATAGAGCTTCCATTCAGGAATAACATGGGAAACATAACCTCTCAGATACCAGCTGCTGCCATTTCTTAATGTTTGCTGTGATGGCTTGACTTGCTAACATGACAGGGTTGATTATTTTTAGCTTTCAGCTTCGGTGAGTTGATCAGTCAAAACAAAGGATTAAAATAGCACCTACTTGGTAAATTCAATTTCAGATGGCTGCATCTTAAACCCATTACAGACTCCTATAAACCTGACTGTTACATGGCCAAGGAAGTTTGAGAAGAAATAATAAAGTTCTAGCTCAAAAGAGGTAGGATGAATAGCTTCTTTTGTCTTAAATAGGAGTCTATTTTGGAATCAGATCTCAAAATAAGTCAACAATAAACAATAGATTCATTTAAGTCATTTCAGGACAAATAGCAACGAGGGTTTAAGAGGGTGTCTGAAAGTTCTAATGTTCCATCTAGTACATGTGAAATGCTTGAGATCTCAGTTAAATGCAGCATTACAAATTAGTAAGAAAGTAAGCAAATGGTCATCCAAGTCACATATGTTTTATTCTTTGAAAACTTCCTTTAAAATAACCTAGGGATGCCTGGCTGACCCAGCCAGTAGAGCATGTGACTCTTGATCTCGGGGTTGTGAGTTCTACACATTGGGTGTAGAGTTTAGTTTAAAAATAAATAAATAAATAAATAATAAATAAAATAACCTAAATAAATATGAAAAATTATCTTGTGATAATGTAAGCCAGAGAAAGCTTTTAATCATTTTTAAATAACTTATTCTAATTCTTAAAAATAATGCAAGTATAGAGTAAACTGGGTAAGGTATATTGGAACACTGTACTACCTTTGTAACTTTTCTCTGAAAGAGAAAAGCTATTCTAAAATTTAAAAGTTTATTTTTTAAAAAGTTTTGTTTCACTGGAGAATATTTGGAAAAAATATAGAAAAAATATAAAAAAAGAAAAATACCTATAAAAATAGGCATACATATAACTATAACTTTGTGTATGTGTGTATATATATATATATATATATATATATATACATACAGAGAGAGAGAAAGTTTTATATCCTGTCTTCTTTGGATATTATGGCATTTTCCCATATAATTAAAAATTCTTCATAAATATTCTTTTAAAGGGCTCTTATCATTATCTCTTATGGTTAAACCCAAAATTTGTTTAATCATTCTCCTACCCATGGAACGTTTAACTTGTTTATTATTTTTAGTTATTAGAATTAGCCTTACAAACAGTATCATTGTGCATATTCCTGGTCATTTCTTCAAAGACAGATGTACATTTTTAGACATGGCCCAACTGCTTTCCAGAAAATTAATTTATTCTTAAAGAGCATGCATCACCCAACCTTAGCTCCAAGGACTGTCACACATGACAACCTTCCACGATGGAAGGCAGCCAGTTTAGCGCTAGGGCTCTTCCTGGGAAGAGCCTCAGGACTGACTATATGCTGTGAGTCACGGCTGCTAGAGCCAAAGAAAAGTGTGAGATGCTCAAATGTCTCCAGGTAATCCTTCTGCCAGCCAACCACCTCCTGATTCCGCTATAACCAAAAGCCAAGTGCATTTACTCAAACAAAATCCACTGAAATCAGAGTGAGGGGAAGAATGTCTGAGACAAAGATTTTACAAGGGTTTGAAGGGTCGTATTCGGCCCAAGATTATTCTCAACAAGTGAAATGCAGACAGAGATACTTGGATATTGTCTATAATGATTCTGGGGGTGGGGGAAGAAAAGAAAAAGAAAACCTCAGCTGGGGGTAGGAATATCGTTTCCCTAGGAGTTATTTGCAAATTTAATGGCACTTTACCTCGGCAGAATGACAGGAAAGCAATACGAGGGGGAGGGAGGCGAGGTGGGGAGACCAGAAATCTGTGAGTTCCAGAGGAGAGAAAAGAATCGTTCTGCTCAAAATGCCAATGGCATAGTGACATTCTTGAAGACAACTTTGACCAGAAGAAGCAGAGGGGCTCTTTTTAATTTTAAATTCAAATTTAGGGCGCCTGGGTGGCTCGGTCAATTATGGGTCCAACTCCTGATTTTGGCTCAGGTCATGATCTCAGGGTTGTGGGACCAAACTCTGCCTTGGGCTCCATGCTGGGTGTGAAGCCTGCTTAAGATTCTCTCTCTCTCTCCCTCTGCCCTTCCACCCCCTGCCCCCCGAAAAATTATAAATTCAAATTTAACATTTGAAATTTTAACATAATATCTGGCTTCTCTCAGAAAATTGGAAGACCTGACAACATTGAGCCTGAATTCCCATGGCAACAAATGCTGGGAAATGAGTAGTGGTTGCCCCCTTGATCCAAGAAGACTGATCAGTGTCGTGCATTAGAGTTACCTGCCTGTCAAGCCCCTTCCTAACCACAAGGTCTTTCAAGGAGTTCCTCAATTCCCTCAACTGGGAAAATTCTAGGAAGGCCCTAAGTGGCGCCCTTCCCCCTTGTCCCCGTGTTCAATAACCGGAGAGACACAACACTGGGAGCTCCTCCTGCCAAAGGTCATTGTCACTCTGGGGCAACATGTTTGTCTTTTATTCGCCATTTCCTGGCCAACTGAGCTGGACAACTCAGAAGTTCTCTTCCTGGAGCCTGAGAGCAAGTTTTCCAGTACCAGAGTCTTGTTTCTTCCCCAACACCATCACCACCATCATATCCATCACCACTTGCTCCCAGACCAGTCAAGCATCAGTGTCTCCTCCTGAAAGAACCCCCACTCCAAACGCCAAAGGAACTTCACAGGTGCACCAGAAGCTCCAAACTAAAAAGCCTTAGCAGAGCATGGGGCCAAGAAGAAAGAAGACATAAACAACATTAAGGACACCCTGCCAAAGAAAAGAATCCTCCCAGATCCACATCTCTGGTCCAGACTCTGAGATTACCTCTCTTATGGCCTTGGCCTTGTCCCTTAGTCCCTCAAAGTTCCAGTTTCCCCATCTGTAAAACAGGGATAACAAGACATCCTTCACAAGGTTGCTGGGAGGTGTGAACAGGGATCGTGAATGTGCAAATGTCCTTCCTACTGCTCAGGCTCAGGAAACGCCAGGCGAATGTGAAGCTAGTTAATAATAATGCTTTTACTTGCTCTGCACCTGAGCTAACATGTCCCAGTCTGGACAGCTGCACCTGGGAAAACAAAGTATCAACTGCCTTATCTGCCCGTGGGCATAGGGCATTATTAGCTGCTTCCTGTAACTTCTGGTATCAAATGGGGTCATTTCTTTTATCATTGTTTATTCGATGATGCTTTGAACAAGCATTAACTAAGCACCTACAATGTGCTAGGGGCAGAGATACAAAGGGGAAAAAATCACAACTGCAAGAAATCAAAGTATAGTGACAAAAACAACCAGATATAACTCATAATTAGCCCTTAGTCTAATACATCCTCGATCAGTGAATTGTAATGGAGCGCAGGGAGGCAGACTGATGCCTCCAAGCTAAACGGGGCCAAACAGATCTGGAAGGAAAAGGAGAGCTTTAAGTTCCACCTGAAGGCCGACTGGAAACTCACCCAGAAGACAAAAAAAAGAGATGCGTTTTACACAGAAGGCCCAAAAACGAAGCCATGGAGAAAGTGTCATGGTGCTTTTGAGGAAATACAAGTAGTTGGCATAACTAATGCAGGTGCTAGGGAGGGAGTGGGGCAGGGGTTAAGCTCCAGGAGAGAACGCCGCTTGGATTTTGGAAATAAGAAGGGTTTTAAGAACTAGCAGGAGGTATCCAATTTGGCTTTTAGAAAGAGAGTACCCAAGCAGCTTGTATGCTGTCCAGTTTCTCTCTCCCTCTCTCTCTCCACATACACACAAGGGCCCCTCCCTGAGGAGATGTGGTGAAAGGAATAGAATATTGGAGAAGGTGCGTGGGGAGGTTGAAGGAGCATAATGGAGACGAGAAGGCAGCACAGACACACAGAGTTCCTGGCAGGACCTGTGGGCTCCAGATACTTTTCAGGCTGTAGGACTGATATCCCTGGATATCCACACCAGGGATATCCAGAAATGGCCTTGCCCTGCAAGGATCTCAAAAATGTGACATTCAGGTACAGTGTGGAAGAACCTTCTAAAAATAGGCTAGAATCAAGCTGCATTTTCGGCCTGTTCCTCCTTCTTTCTTTTAAAGATTAACTACCCTAAGGCTGTGCCAAACAAAACGAAACAAAAACAAGGGTGGGTCAGGGGAACAGACTCATGAAGGCCTGAGCAGGCACTGCTGTTTACTCACCAAGGCTGACAGCATCATATTGTTTCTATGCCTCAAACATGCCAGTAATTCCCTTAGGGAGAAGTAAAGTATGATGGGAGGGTAACTTGTATTAAATTTAAAAACCTGAGTCCTGAACAGTTGATCTTTATAAGTTTTGGGCGTTTTGACCATCAACTGTCACAACCCCTCTGATGATGGAATCTATTACTTCTACTTGTACTCACCACAGATCACCATCAGTTGAGGTGACTTTCAGAGTCTTTTTGGTTTTTTTTAAGTTCAAGCCCAACGGGGGGCTTGAACTTGCCACCCTGAGATCAAGACCGGAGCTGAGATCAAGAGTCAAACACTTAACCGACTGAGCCACCCAGGCGCCCCAGAGTCTTTTTAGAGAGAGATGATTAACAATGTGTCCCCTCAAACATGCTCTCCTAAAAGCCAATCACTAGCAACCTTCCATTAGCTGGGTTAATATTGGAAAATCTCTCTAATGCAAAAGGGTCTAGAACTAACACAAAAGGGGCCAGGGCAAGGTCACATTTTATTTATATTTCCATCCCCTAGGGCAAGTACAGTGCCTGGCATACTGTTGGCATACAATAAAATTTTGTTGAAAGTCTAGACAAATAAAATGTGTAGATTGTTGATTAATTTAGTAAGACAATTTCCAAATTTTTGGATTTTTAAAAATTGGTGTATGATTTATATATAATAAAATTCACCCTTTTAAACTGTACAGTTTGATGAGTTTTGACAAATGTATATAGTCATGGAACCACCACCACAATCAGCCCCCCAAAATTCCTCATGCCCCATTGTAGTCAAGTCCCCTCCCCAGAGTACTGGTTCATGACTATGGTTTGCCTTTTCTAGAATGTCATATTGATGGAATCACAGAGTACATAGCCTTCGAGGCTGCCCTTTTTCACTTAGCATCATGATTTTAGCTCTGCCTATGTCGTCGCTTGCATCAGTACTGTATTCATTTTCATTGCTGAGGAGTATCCTGTTGTTTGGATGTTACACAAATTGTTTTCCTACTCTCCCATTGACGGATACTCAGATGGTTTCCAGCTTTTGGCTATTATAACTAAAGCTGCTAGGAACATTCCCATATAGATCTTTGTGTGGGCACATGTTTTCTCTCTCCTGGGTAAATACCTACAAATGGACGTGCCTGGTCTTATGGTACGCGAACAAATAACTTGATAAGAAATTGAGAAAGTGTGTTCGAAAGTAGCTGTATCATTTTATATTCTATCAGCAATGCATGAGAGTCCCGGTTACTTCATATACTTGCTAACATTTGATATTGTCGATCTTTTTAATTTTAGTCATACTCACAGTGAGAAGCATAGCTCATTGTGATTGTAATTTGCATTTGCCTAATGACTGATGTTGGGTATCTTTGCGTGTGCTAACCTGGCTGCACGTAACTTCTGTGGTGAACCAAATATTTTTTTTTTGAACCAAATATCTTTTAATGAAAATTAAAGCTACATTATTCATATAGATTTTTCCAATATATTTCAATTAATATTCAAAACTGAGAAAATACTTTTTCATTGTCTTCTGTTTTTCATGGACAATTTCTAAGATGAATTAAACACTTTTTTGACCCCTTAGCATTCTTAACCATTTTCTTACAGAGATGACTGAGGCATGGCACCCATACCAGTCAACTATGTTAGTTTACAACTATGTTAGTCGAGTAAATTAGGTTTGTGTTTCATTTTCACAGTTTTTCTCTCGTTCTCATCAGGGATACTACTTGTTGCTGTCCCTGTGCTTGTCTAAAATTGCACATTGTAATCTGCTGTATAATTAGCTACGCGCTTGTGTAGTTACTTAAGAAATGAACATAAATGGCTCTGAGCACAAGCCTGAAGGTCTCTTCAAGAATCAGGCCCGTAGGCTTCTCCCAGGTACCTGATGACATACATTTTATGGCTTATTTCCAGATGAGGACTCTGCTTGAGAGATAGGTCAAGTCAGCTAAGAAATGCCCCCCAGGATCAGTGAAGAGAATCTCTCTCAGCATTTCCAGATATACAGAAAGTTTGGGGGGACTCAAAGTTTTAGGGAACGCAACTCTGATGCACCCCAGAAGGAACCAATTTTTCTATTCTATGGCTGTAATGATACCAAGTAAAATACAGTTCATGCTCTAGTACGGTGTCTTTTTTTTTTTTTTTAAAGATTTGTATTTATTTATTTAACAGAGATAGAGAGCATAAGTAGGCAGAGTGGCAGACAGAGGGAGAGGGAGAAGCAGGCTCTCCACTGAGCAGGGAGCCCGATGCAGGGCTCAATCCCAGGACCCTGGGATCATGACCTGAGCTGAAGGCAGCCGCCTAACCGACTGAGCCACCCGGCGCCCCTCTAGTACGGTGTCTTAAAATAAGTTCCCAGCTCTCTTTTTTGTTGGCCGCAACAGCACAGTTCCTCCTGGCAGAGAGCCTCATGCTGACTGAATCTCCCAGAGGGATAAGAAGCAGGGGCACCTCCTGCCTGGAAAGTTCTGGATTCCAATGCAACTCCACCCCTCCCAGCGACTGCGGCCCCACTGCTGCCAGTTTCCTCATCTATAAAATGACTATAAAGTACATACCACCCACCTCAGAGCGCCTTGCGCCCGTCAAACAGGAAAGAGAACGTGAGTGTGCTGCGTCAACAGTATCTGGCTACAGGAGACCAGTCTTACCACCATGGCTCAAAGGGAAGCCTGACTCATGCCAAGGCAGAAAGTTCCTATGAAGAAAAACAACAAATACACAAATACCCTTTGAACAGGACCGAGGAAGGACAAGAGCCTCCCAGTGAGACGGAGTGACACAGGTGCTGCCTCGGGAGGAGGAGAAACAAAAACAGATTTTGAGCAGAGAAGAAGCAAGAGACCCCGATAAGCAAGGGTAAGGAAGGGAGAGGAAGTCCAGAGGCTGAATGAAGAAACAGCAATGCTGGGCATGGCTTAATCCTGGCCTGCTGTCCGCACAGCGACAGCCACAACCTGGAGTTTGCAATGGGCAAGGCTTCCAGAGGCTTCCAGGGAAACTTCAGCTCCTTCATTCCCACTTCAGTGTGGCTTATCCATCAGAACAGATGCTAATTACATATACTGCCCACCCTCTTACTGCATTTCCTAATAGAATTTTTATCCCAGCCCGAGTTTCTCAACAGTCTAAAGTAGATCGTCTGTTTAGAGGAAGTGCCTGGTCATTCGATTACTTCTAGAAATATTTTCTCAAGATTTTCCATGCAAGCAACAGACCTTCAGAAGGCAAAAAGATTCCTAGACTCTTCCCAGAGTGAGCACTTCAAAATACCCTTGGGATCAATGAGCCGGAGCCAAACTAAATAGGATGCCGACGGTGAACCCTAGTTCTGGGTCTTTTTTCCTCTAATACCATCCTAGCGGGAGCAGGAGGGAGAGAGGCTGTTCCCACAAAGAGAGAACAATAAATCCATTTAGCAGTTTAATCTGCCCCTTCAACCATGTACCTCCAAGTCTCTAATTCTATCAGGTCCTTTTATATGGACCCATTTTTCTGTAATTATTATCGCAGTGTGATTGAAGAAAGATAGATTCATCATGTGGCTTCCTCCCCTAAGTCTTTTAAGTTCAATCAACCAACAATTAAATTTTAGATAATATTGCACATGCTAAATCCTCTGCTCTCCCTTGCCTTCTCTCTAAACTGGAGAAGGTTTTGTTTCAGTACGAATAGCAGGTGATATGTACAGATGGCTGTGCATAAAATTCCAACATAGTTCATCTTCTCTACAAAAACAGTAACCCTTCTCAATTTTCTGAGGTCATTCATAGTGATAAAAAAGAAAGCCAGACTTTACAAGGAATGTGTAATATGTTAATAATATCCCTCAGAAACTATTCATTAAAAATTATTATTGTTTTTTTATTAAGTTCCAGGAAATGCACTTAGCTCTTTACAAGAATTGCCTCACAACCCTAAAGTGTGGTAAGTACTGTGATTAGTTCAATCTACAGGTGAGAAAACTGATGCTCAGAAATGTTAAGGAATCGATTCAAGATCTCAAAGGCTTTGAGAATGGAAGAGCTGATATCTGAATCTAGGACTCCAGAGCCCAAACTCATAATGACTATGTCATAGCTATTTGTCTTATTTTCTTTCTCCCATCCCTCTCCCATAATGCTCATCCTTCTTTTCTCCAAAATTTATGCTTTCCCTTAACAAAACTTTTTTGAAAACCTATTAGACTACATGCCAGGCAGGAGGCTAGTTGCTGTAAGGCATCCCTGAATTCTCCATTTCGGTCACTGGCACTAAGTTAACTCCTATCTCCCATAACCTGATATGAACATCCAGGTACCAGCACTAGACCCCCATTTGTAGGATGAGCCAGGTGCTCCTTGTTTGGACCAATGCGACCTTAGACCAGAAAAGTGCATTTCCAGGCCTTTCCTCCATGACTTGATGGTAAGTCACCATTGCTAGGAGCTTGCCTCTGGCCTTGTGCATTCTGAGAGTCAACTCCGTCCCTTCCCCACACCTGACTCTGTATTCCAGCTCAATATTCCAGTTTCGAAAAACCCAGGGCTCTACCATGCCTTTTTAGTTCCATCCAAAGAAGATTTTCCTCACTAGAAGGTAAGTCCCCTGGGAGCAGAGATCTGCCTGTTCATGGAGGCATTCCAAGCTCTGAGCACAGCACCTGGTATGCAGTAGACCCTGGATGGTATCTGCTGGTGGAAGAGACTCGGGTCCTTCAGCTGAAACCCTGGCTGACTGATGGCCATGCTGCTTCCTGAAATAATCCTGATACTTACTTCCTCTTTTGCTGTCTTAAGACCAGCTCAGCAGATTCTTGGGAAACTCTACAAGTCCCTGGAAACCCTGAAGCTAGGTGATGATCAGAATCAGGCTGGTGCTGTAATTTTCAGATTGTATGCCTTGGCTTCCGGACTAGGCCTTCTGGCCACTCCTACAAGGTATATTTGTTGGCACATCCCAGGTCCCGGGCTGGTTTCCAGCCCCTCCCAGCCAGCCTTGTTTGGCAGTGTTCATTGGTTTTTGCCTAGTTTTATCTAGAAATAATTTTTATATAATTACATACAAAAATCATGTAAAATTCATAGAAATATAAGTTCAAAGATGTCATAGCAAGAAATTGGAATGGATAATAAAACTGTTCAATAAAATAGGGCAGATACACACAATGGGCTTTAATCTGGCCATCAAAACATCATAAAGAATTCTGATGACATGAGAAAATGTTTATACAAGAAGTTATAAGGTGTTACATGTAGTATGATCCTACCTATGGGAAAACACATTTTTAAAAAGACCAGCAATAATAGTGGATTTATGAATGATTCAGGTTTTTCATTAACATGTTTCTGCCTATTTCTATATTTCCACAACAAGCATATATTAATTCCATAATATAAAAAAAAAACTGTAATTTTTTTAAATTTGTAAATTTGTAAATTTCATGTTACAAACGTGTCCTAAAGCAGATATCACTGTGCCTTGACAATACTGGATTCAAGCTTCTCAGCCATTAGAATCTGAATTACTAGCCTATGGTTATCAGGAAACCAGTTAGATAAAACAAAATGAATACAATTTGAATTTTAATTTACTCCCTTTTTATTTCAAACTAGTGAATAAGTCTACAGACTGGGGTAGGGTACGGCCTGCTCACATGGCGCAGAGCTCAAGTCTTATGGAATGCCTGACACCATGCCCTGTTAATTGCACTTACTTATGGACTTTACTCATTTCTCCCAAAAGGCTATCAAGTCCCTAAGGATATTCTTGGAGTGCCTAACACAGAATCCACACCATGCCTATTGCGTGAATTAATTTTCAGAGTATACCAAACTAGTTCCAAAGCAGTCAGCTTCTTTCAAAGTTACCATAGAGAAAAAAAAAAAATTAAAAAGCAAATAAACAAACAAACCCAGTAAGTCTAATGGAAAAAATCTCTATTCGGTCAAAATGTCCCTCCTCGGGGCATATGGGTCCCTCAGTCAGTTAAGTGTTGGACTCTTGGTTTCAGCTGAGATCATGACCTCAGGGTCTTGTAGAGCTCCACCCTGAGCTTGGAGTCTGCTCAAGATTCTCTTTCCCTCTCTCTCCCCCTTTGCCCCTTCTCTCACATTCTCATGCTCTCGCTCTCTCTCCCTCTCATAAATCAATCAATCAATCTTTTTTTTTTTTTACGAAGTTCCTCCTCTATCTCTTTCATCACAATAGCGTAAAAATCCTTGGCCTTTTAAAATAAAAAACAAACTACAAATTCAGAAATAAGCAAGCTGCCTCTGTAAGGCTGACCAAAGTTCTGAAAGAACGAATGAAAAAAGCTATTTCAGAGGTGGATGGGAGTTAGGTGAGGTATCTCAATAGTCCAGCTGATCAAACTGCCAAGTTACTGAGAGAATCAAATCAGATACTTATCATTCAGCCTATCCCAGGGTGATTTCAGGAGCCCAAATAGATTTCCTACATCATAAGCCTGCCAGAACCCCACATCCCACTCAAACATTCCCGTTCACTAATGAGTGCTTTAAGTTTCCCAGTGTAGTAAACAACCCTTTCTCTAAAGTGTTTCTCAATATAGGTTAGATGAGTAAACATTTTCAATGATACGTGGATTAATATTTCTAGATTAATAAATATGCATTGATTTAAATGTTGACTAGAAAGTATATAACAAAGACTGCAACACCTTAAGTTTATGGTTATCAAAATAGTTGTAAATCAGGCAAAAAGACTCAATTTAAAAAATACTCTTTAGTTAGTACAGTACAGATGAATTTGTCAAATCTCATTAAGTGTACACTTAAGAATTTTACATTTCATTGTATGGAAATTCTACCTCAATTTAAAAAAAGAAAGTAATAGAACAGAATGGGTTGTATGCAGATTTAGGAGAAAT